GGATCAATTGTTCCTCCTTTTTGAATGAAAAAAAGGTCCCTGACCCTACGGATAGAGTATCCCATGTTGTGTCGGTTTCTGCTTTTATATTCTTCAATTTAATTAAGGAACGCTATCACGAAACCTAATTGTCTAGACTCTGTCTAGTCTTATAAACAATTGCTATAAAAGTGCACGTAAGCTTTACAACCGGTCTTGTAATGTATTACGCATGTACATGTATAAGGTTGTGATTTAAAACTGAAAAAGGCTGCAGACGTTTGCAAATTCTGTCGTCGGGTCTTAAAACCTAAAACCTCTAAATAATAGTTCTAGTAAAAATTGCTCTTTCAGTCTTCGACAATTCAATTAACATTTCATACTGATGTTGGGAGCTCTTTGTGTGACAGCGAAAGTGCTAAGCCGTAATTCTAGCCAATGTTTTAACTAACAATGCAGCATAATTGCCGAGTTGGTATCCCTTTAATTCAATTAATTATCGCTAAGTTTATTTTGCAAACTTACTCTGGCAGGTGAACTCTTGTCCGCTCCAAGTTCCATTGTGTTGACATCTCCTTGCTTGAGACCCAGACCCTATATAGCCGCTGTTACACGCGAATTGACAGACTGTATCATAAGAGTACTCTGTCGCACTCCCCGAGCATCCAAATCTTATCCCATTAGACGGTGCCGGAAACGCTGGACACGTGATCACTACAATGTCAAAACACACCTTTGTTTTGTCTCTGTCATTTACATAATCATATGAGCGCACAAGCCATCCCGAGCTTTTGGTGTGAGTGTCGAAATATTACGGGTTTATTAATAGGAGTACTCTTGGAGCTTAAATTAAGAACGAGTTATGAAGAAGATTTATGGCCAGTTTCGTGAGCGGGCAAGATGAGCCACATCCTGCGCTGTGATTGGCTACCCGAGCGGGGAAGATATGCTGCTATGTTGCCCGCTAAGTAAGCAAGTAAATCTGAATAAGAAATGAGGGCGCGCGCTGTCATTGGTCGATAAGTGTGTTTAGATGAGAGTATGTAAACACGGTTGTGACGTTTTAGATTCGCGCGTATTCTTGAGAATTATTTTATAAAAGCAAAAGAGCACTTTTTCCGCTGGGAGAATTCTCGAAAGTTGTGCTCGGGTTTGCATAACTGTCTCGAATTCTCCCAATCCTCCTCGTGTTTAGATGAGGTTATGTAAA